TATCCAAGTGCTAATTTTAAACTCTAAAACTAGGAACAATACTCTTTTGGAACTGCCTGATTTGCAAAATTGCTGGTCCCTTTAAAGTCTCATTTAGGTTTTAGAGCACTGGATCTCCATCTAAGCAGCGTATGACCCATCACATGGAACAAGAGGTAGCGCTCTGCTAATACAATATACAAGAGTAAGAAACATACTCGCACAGGATGCAATCTGTGTGCTACTATAATATATTCTTCACATTCACTTTTGAAACACTAACTGGAATGGACACTGATTTACTATAGTTCTTACCCATATTTTAATTTTAAAAAATAAGATACAAAACCCCTTAGGTCAGGCACATTAAAAAAGTATACTCTGTGCAATAAAACTAGCTTTCTTCAAAAGTTTACAGATAACCTTATTAAAATTTTCTAACAACCTAGACAGCTTAAATCTTGCTTGTTTCATTAATACATTAAGATTTGCAGGAGGAAATAAATATAATAGCAGTATCTCCTAGCAAGTATATGAAACCTTGAAAAGGTTTCTTTTAAGCACTTGTTTGTTATGCCTTAAAGGTTAACAGCAGTTTTTCTTTGAACACACCTACAGCAAGTTTTTTTCTGTACTGTGAAGGTCATGAGCAGAATTTTGGATAGGTTTTGTGGGTACAACTTTTTCTGTTACTAAGAAAATGTGAACACTGGTAGATAGAAATATCCATCTTGCACGATTCAAAAGACCACTAAAATTAATATTTTAAATAATACAGAATTTGGAAGCATGGAATTGAGGATTTTTTCCCTAATCCATGTTTCTCATCTGTGGAATTTTTTCCCCCCTAGAGGTGCCTTAAGTGTCACTCTCAGCAATAAATCAGAACTATTTGCACAGTGGAAACACTTAAACAGTGTACCTGTTGAAAAACACTGTCCAACAAAATCTGCTTTTGAGAGATTCACAAATGCTCATTTGTATGAGGCAAATAACATAGATGCACTTCTTTAGGATCTCTGCAGAAGTCTGAATTGGGTTCTATTTTGTATCTTTACCCATCTATACCGTCCCACTAAATTTTGTTAAAATGTCACATGACAACAGCAAAATACTTTCATTAAACCTTCATTTACATTAATCTAGTTAGAACAATGCCACGATTCTACAATTACATACACCACTCCTTAACTCAGTACCACAAATAGTCCTTACTAAAATTAGTATTAGCATGCATGCAAAATTAAGACTGTCCTTAGTCAAACCAAGATCAGAACTGGAGAAACATTTCAGCCTTCAGTGTGACACTGATTTCTGTATTTCTGCTGCTTTCCAACAGAACTTTAATAGCTGTGTATGCTGAAAATGTCTAAGAGAAATGAGGAGTTGCATTACCTCAAAGTAACCTGAAGAGGTTACTTAGTGCTAAGAGAAACTTTCCCTAGATTTAGTCTGAAGAGTCAGTATTATTTTCCCTCTAGAACTTCCCAGACAGCAAAAACACTCACCCAAAAGGCTAAGTGACAATTAAGCAAATTTCTCCTTTAAATACGAAAAACGTTAAGATACGTAATTGGATTCGTAACTCCAATCCATAATATTGCATTTGTGACACAATGTTTGTGGAACAGAAACATGTATTAAAAAAGAAGGAATTTAGATTTCAGACCTTCCCTCTTTCAAGAAGCTTGTATTAGTTTTGGGGGAGGGGGGGTATTTAAACCTTTATGAATATGTAAGTGAAACCATCCATGGAATTAAAAAATAAAGGTAGAATTTGTTTTGTAGTCTCATCTCCTTAAAACAAATCACAGATCTGTTTATACAAATGGAGAAACTGAGTCACGAAGGCAAACTGACTCATTAAAACTCATACAGGAAAACTCTGGAAGATCTCTAAATTCCCAAGAGGTTCTTAGGGCATAAAATAAACTGTAAAATTTGAAAATTAATATTTTTGGGTTATTTCATTACCCTTCCCCAAACACTTTTTGTAAAGTCTACAAGGTTATTTTCCTCTAATTGTGAATCAGATGTCTGTTTGAGAACATGACAGAAGCCATGAAGAGCTGCAGACTGAATAGCATCGAGACAGGAGCTTTCAACTGAAGGCAAGGAAAGAAAAAGGCAAAGGTTTCCATAAAGGCCCGTACAACCTTTAAAGTCTTTTCTATGTACTTTATTAAATAGAGAGAATAAGACCCGGTTTAGAAAAAAATAAATTATTTATATAACTAAAGATGATAGGAGCAAGTATTACTGGAGAATTAACAAAATCACCCAGCCTTTGGCCTCAAAACACACTAAAAGCATGTATTAAAAACACCCTAAAAGTCTTACTGTTCAACTTCAGGTATACCTTAAGTACTACATCAGTGCTTCTAAATGGTATTGAAATTAAAATTCGTCAGAGATTGAATACAGCTTTGCCACTTCAATACCTCACTTTTGATTTCTTAAATCCAGAAGGTTCTACAGCTATACCAGAATAGGAATTCACATCTCTTTAATTTAAAGGACAAAATTAAAGACAGGCATTAAAAAAAGGCAAAAATTTATTTTTTGTTATTGTTGCTTAAAACACACAATTTGCAGTTGCTATAGTATGTATCAGAGTACTACACCAACTACCAAATAATGAATCCTTGTGACCTCCCTTCCCCCCACTCAAACGTATTTATAGTGGTGATACTAATTGGTTCATATTTCATTTAGGAAAAAACTTAGACATTACGAATCGCACCTTCCCTCAGTACTTGTATGTGTATTATCACATATACAATTTATATAGCAATATACAAAATAAACTGAAGAAAAATTGTAATGCAAAGATTACATGGTAGCAGAAAAAATTCTGTGTCTTTAAATAAAGTAACAGGTTATAATCTCGTGTGCATTATTCCCTTAAATTAATTCTGTATTCCCTAACGATGAATACATGAAATGACTACACCGATGTCCAGTGAAGGTATTTCCTGAAAGATGAACATGACACTCACAAATGGGTTTCCATAAAGAATTAAGCTGACTGTTTTAGAGATCGTAATCCACGACTCGCGTTGACAAATATTACTGATTCTATATCGTTAGTAGGACAGACAGCGGTACAGTATCGATCACAAACGCAGGAGCCTTTCCCATTTACTAAAGCGACATACACAGTACCTTACAGCACCATATACACACCCCTCGAAGGAGCTGCTGGAGTCTGTTGCCTCTTTCCACCCCCCTTCTCCCCAACAAGAGTGGTCTCGTTCACTTGCCTTTCACACACATAACCAATAAAATTAATCAGCTGGAACACAGCATTTTTAAATCGCAGTAAAGTCAAGAGCTGTTTTGTACGTTATTTGAAGGGAATAGCCTTTTCATTTTAACATAGTAAGACACTAATATGCTGCAGACAAACGCACTGCATGGGGTGTGGAGGACCCGAGCTGATTAGATTACCACAACATCAGCCTGAGGCCGCCATTTTTAGAATCTCTAAAGGACAAAAGAGGGAAATTAATAAATTTGCTCCACGTTTTTTAAAAAGTAACTTCAAAAGTATATTGATGATAACTAATTAATCATGCATTGCAAGTACTGCCATGGATATCTCCTGCTGTTCTCTGATCTGAACCCTGAGTAACAAAAATGCTTCGTTATTATTCCTTTAAGCTACTGTAAATAAACAGACTAAAACATCGTAAATCTAGATGCAGCACTGAACTTCTGCTTTTGACGACACGTAGTATGTAGCATTTTAGGGACCTCAGGGCTTTCAGACACCGCACGTTCCCTAATAGCCGAGTATAGGGGAATACAGGACCTTTATAATCAGGCTATATTATGTTTCTCTACCCTATTTAGTAGTACACAGTGAACCGTTTGTTTCTCTCCCCCTGTGTCTGCAGCAATAGGGTCAAACCCACCAACACTTACTGCTTCAGGAAAGAGAATGAAATGTGCCACCCAGGGAACACGAACACTGGCTGCAGAAACTAAAGCAAGAAAGGGGTGCACCAGTCTAACTACTTACACCCTCGAGAAAGGGGGTGGGGAGAATGATCCCCTTTTAAATTGGCACAGAAACTCCTGGGGACAGCTCTCCGTTTGTCCAGGTTACACCACGAAGCGGAGATATTAACAGGGAGGCAGGCGGGGAGGCGGGGGTGTGGAAGGCAGAGAGATTAGGCCTATAACGAGCCATTTTAGCACCACAAAGCAAAAATATACAGGATGGAGGAAAAGAATAGGCTTCCCCAAGCTTCGTCAAACTCAATACGCAGTCCCAATAACGCACAAACCCGTTCTGAAAACCGCCAGCCCAAGGAAGCCTATGTTGTCACATAATAGCTCATTTTGGCTCATTTTCCAAGCATAATGCATAAATCTGGCGTAACTGCCAAAAAATTCTCCTCAGCTCCTCCAGTTACAGTAACCCGCCATATTCATAAGATATAGCGACAGCCTGCCATTTTTTAACCAAACCCCACAAAAGGAAAAGCAAATTCAAGGCAACTTAAACAGAAATTAAACATATTTCAGGGTGGGAAGTAGTTATACTCGCACCGAAGGTAATGAGACATTCCCGTCGCATTTCACTCCCTTTTTCTACCCCCCCCCTCCCCCAAAGCACCCACAGCAGAATATGCTGGTAATAACCAAAGACTCACCTGTAATGGTCACAGGCCAGGCAGCAGGACCCCTCAGCTAAGCCCTTTCTCTATCCCAACCAAAACAATGCAACAGCCCCACTGCGGATATCCCTACCCTAGGTAGGACTCAGCCCTCAGCAGGCTCTCGTAAAAGAAAGGGAAAGAGGAGACCCCCCCTCCCCCCAAACTAGCTCAGTGCGCAGAACCCTACAGGGACCAGCTCAAAGGCGCCTTTGCCCTGGGACCTGTGTACAAACCCCGCTGCTGCCGCCGCTGCTCCCGTGCCTCCCTCCCTCCAGCCTCCTACGCTCCCTTCTATGTCACTGCCTCTCTCTGGGAAAATGGCGTCCGCTCTCCCCTCCCTCCCCCTGCACGGGGCTTACCCGCCCCGCCTGACAGGGGCAGGGTTACCAAGGCGAAGCCAAACAGCCGCCATTTTGCTTACGGGCCGGGAGTGCAGCACGCGCCCGCCGAGCCCTCAGAGTCCATTTTGCAACACGCAGAACGGCTCCGGGGTCTGGGCGCGGCCGCGGCACCAGACTGCGGCAGGGGCTGGGCAGGGGGGCCGTGAGGAGGGAAGTAGGGCAGCGGAGGAGGGGCGGCGGCAGCGGGGGCTGGCGCCGGGGGCGATCCGCAGCCCCGGCGGCGCAGCCTGCGCGGGAGGGGCGGGGGCTCCGTCCCGGCCTGTTGTGGGGCCGAGCGCGGGCGGGAGAGCGAGGGTGTCTGAGTCAGAGCTGCATCCTCGGAGGAATAAACGCCAAAACTCCCTCCTCGGCCGCTCTCACACCCCCGACCTCCAGCTTCTTCCTCACGACCGTCGATGCTGTCAGCATACGTGTTCTTTATGAATCTCTAATAGCACATTTTCGGCCTAAACTGCGCGAAAAGCCGGGCAGAGCCGCCGGATCTCACACACGCTGAAGAACTACCTGAGGGGAGGGGAAGAGGGGAACGAAAAAGGAGCGGGAATTTTTGCAGACCTGCTCAGGAGGTTTTGACTGAAACTTTCAGTAAGACACTCGAGCCTGAGACTCTTCCCCGAAGCGCTTAAGACTCAAAGGCAAGTGGGAGAAAGCTTCTTTCCTTAGAGCGAGTGCGAGAACACTCGCTGAAGGCATTTCTGTTCTGCAGGGAATGAGACAAGCAGCGAACGAGCCTCGTTAGCCCGTTAGGGAACAGCCCTCGGGGAGTAGGAATGGCGCGCTTCTGTCCAGAGCAGCGGGCGCTGCCAATGCCAGGAGCCCGCTCAGCCTTTCAGGGCGGACGCAGCTCCGGCCATTCGTAAGCAGCCCCTCTTGCTAACCACCATATCTCCTCCCAGCTCCCGCTGCACCTCTCCGCCGCCCTGCCTCCCCTGCCCGGCTTCAGCCCCTCCAGCGATACGGCTGATGGAGGGAGGGGAGGCGGCGGCTGGGGTTTCGTTCGACGCCCACCAGGGGCTGAGCGAGCCTTCTTCAGTGCGCAAACTCGGGGCACCAGATAAAAGCTGGGCTGGCAGCTCTTACCCTGCCTCGATGGAGCCGCCACTTTCGGGTGACTGGAGAAGCAGTTAGCAGCAGCGCCATAGACTAAGCGTCCCCCCACACCTTGGGCACAGAGAGTTTGGGGCTCTAAACAGCTGCTGCTGCGGCAGGAGGGAGTCGAGGTGAAGGGATCTGCTAGCTGGTTGGACGCAGAGGAGGCGGCTGTAATGGGGCATTAAGTCTGAGGGAGGAGGGGGGGCGATTAAACCTCTTGTGATCATGGCGGAGTCTATGGGTATTTTTTTTCCTGTCTAACTCTTCTGTGCGTGTGTCTCTGTTTCTTTCTCTCTCTCTCTCTCTCTCCTTAGGGCGCTTGGCTGGGGCTGCTCGCTCGGGTTCTGCCTTGTTGTTGCGCGAAATGGCGGCTGGCGTCTTGGTGGGTTTGGTTGTCGGTTTTTTGTGTAGGGTTGTTTTTTTTTTTTTCCCTTCCCCTCCTATTCCCCTCCCCGCACTTGTGCCTTGGCTGCGGCTCCGCAGCGAACCGCGGCGGAGCCCGAGTCAGGAGGGGGGCGGGAGCGGCGCGGCAGCCAATGGCCGGGCCTGCCCGGGTGGCCCGGCGCACCCTGATTGGCTGGCGCTGACATCATCCTGCAGCAGGGGCAGCCGCAGCTGGGCAGGGTCGGGAGCTGCCGGGGGAGGCAAAGGGAGAAAACGGGCGCCATGATCTCAGCGCTCGGGAAGACTCCGTGGGCAGGGCGTCCCCGAAGAGCTGGCGAAAAGAAAAGCGGGACCGGGCCTGGGCTTCTCCTTCTCGAATAGTGCCGGGGCTGTGCTGAGAGGAGCGGGAAACGAGCGAGAGGGGAGCAACTCATGCCTGCCTTTGTAACTGCGTCAGTACAAGATGGCGCAGGGTGTCCCTGGAGAGGGAAGGGAGTTGCACGTCCGCCGGAGGTCATGTGACCGCGTTGCATTCCTGTGGGGTTTGGCTGCGGACCAAGCTGGCTTGGGCGGCAGCGGCGGCTGCCCGGGAGAGCCCGGGCTTCCCTCCCCCTCCTCCTGCACAGCGTCGTCGGTCCCGCGCTGGTTCCCTTCCCCCACCAGCCTCATGCACGAGGGTGTAGCTGCTGCCGAGGAAGGTTCTCGCTTCTCTCTTTACTCTCCACCCACCTCCAGGGTGTAGCTCCTCTTGGGGGAAGCTTTCCATTCCACCCCCTCTCTGCGCAAGGCTTTACCCACCGCCAGGGAAAGTTCCCCGTGGGTGCCTGCCGGCTCCGCCCGAGCGTGGGAGCGGGCTGCGCTCACGGCAGTGCCGCCCGCTCGGTGCGAAGGCGCTCTGCTCTAAGCTAAGTTGCAGGGGGTTATGGAGTGGTTCTTACTGGAACAGTCGTTTGAAGTGATGTCTAAATAACCTCATTAAAGCCGCTGAGGAAAACGTACAGGCCCTGCGGAGTTGTTCTTCTAACGAGGAGGGCTTGACTGTTCTAGTGTTGCTCTGCCGGGGGTACGGGTGGAGGGGCCAAGGGAAAGTCTCTCAGCTGTTTATGACTTTATTCCGTTTGAACAGGAAAAGTGAATCGCTGTTCGTTGTGTGCTGTTGAATCCTGTTGCAGGAGCTGAGCAGCTTTCTGTGGAGCGATAGGTGTATTCCAAAGTCAGGCCGCAGATGGCCTGCATCTTTAACATGGGAATTGATGTATATACTTAGTGCAAATGAAAAATATGGTCTGTAGATATTGTGACGACTCCCCATGTTTTACTTTGAGGTCCGTAGGCAAATGAACTTGTTACATAGGCCTGGAAGGTTGGCAAATACATTTTCCTTTTTTTTTTTTTTTTTTAAAATTTCAATATTCGCTGGATGGGAAGTGAAAAATGTATGTTTTCCAATCCTAACTCTTTTTCTTTAAGGAATGCAATTCCTATTACTGTTTGGTTGATCTTCTCATATTTTAAAAGCATTTCAGTGCTAGTTCCCATGTTCTTGTATGCCACAATATAAATTTAACCACGACTTCTAACCCAATGTACAAATTAACAGTTAAAATTGTTGATGATTTAAGGGTGTGTGTTTGTTCTATTTGGGAATGTTTCACTTTTTCTATTCTTAGTGTGTCTCTTGATAGGTAGGATTTTTTTTTTTCTTCTACCTCCACAGTAGCAACTTGATAGGGCATAAATCTTGACTATTTAATAAATGTGCTGTTTGAGAACTGGCATGGAAGTAACTGAGTGTATGACTAATAGAGATTTCTGTATAATAGCTGCTCTTTAATATGTGTTACATAAGTAATATGGTGAGGTGGAGTTCAGTTATATAAGAACTGACTGGGGACTTGGGAGCTACTGTAAGTAGTTCATATTGGTCGCATATATAGCCTGCAGGGCATCCCTGAGTTGTGGGAGGAGGGGTAGAAAAACAGGATTGGAAGCATCTAACAGCACTACATTTTTCCTTTGTAGGTTTATAGAGGATACCAGGAAAGAAAGGGAGAAGGCAGTAATTAGGAGTGACAGAGTGTGAAGCTTTCAAAAGCCTGTAGTCTCATTTGAGCTTAGGTTTTAGGATGTAAGCTCTATTTTCTAAAAGAGCAGTCTCCCCTATTTTGAGTGTCAGAAGGTGGCTGCCAGCTGAGCATTGTGCTGACTTCTGTGCGGACTATAAAGAGCAAGATTCTTGAGTCCTGGAGATAGTGAGGCTGTGCCTATTTTTTTTGTTTAAAAAAAAAGAAGCTTACTGGAAATGGTGTTAGGAGGAGGCAGTTGGTTTGTTGATCAAACATTAAAATGACTGGATTACTGATTCTTCTTGTGTAGGCATCATATGACACAAGGTAAATACTCCTTTGTAATGGAAGCTTCCAGAGAGGCTTTCAGTGTACAGTGATTCTTTTAACATAGCAGTGATTTATGTGGGACTTGACATTGTGAATACTTCGTTGCAGATGTGCTAAAGGGAGAACATTAATTCCAACTAAAGATGAGGGGAAAAAATATTTTATTAGTACTTGCATTTAGGCATTTGTTCTGTAATTATGAAACAGCAATTGCCTGCCTCACTGTAAAAGAATTGTTTGAATGCTTATGTTATAGAATAGTTTATATAGAAAATCAGCTAGAATTCTAATTCTTAAAGCAGCCTTTTGGGTAACTCTGATAACAGATTTTGCTTGAAAACCAAGAAGTGAATTGTTTTAGAAGTTCTCTCTGTAACTCGCAGCTTATTGCTGCAGTACTTGAACTGAGGTGTGGCTGTGCTTTTATGAAGCTGTAGGAATGAAGGCAACTTTTAATGAGCTGGTAGTAATTTCTAGTTTGTTTCAAGGTTGTTTTTATTACTAATTCTCAGGAAAGCAGTTATCTTGAAAGAAGCAGCTCTGGTAGTGTTGCAATGCAGTCTCAAAAAAACCATGTCATATGTATTCTGAATTATTTGTGCTGCAGGAGATGAATGAAAACAAAATGTGTGTATTTCTTTGAGACAGGGCATTTGCCCTACAGCCAGTCTGATGCAAGCTGTTTTAATCTCGAAGGGAAGAAAAGAGCTGTAGTAAAGGGAGACTGGTAAAAAATGGCATGTAGTTTACATTTATGATAGCCTACCAGGGAAATGAACAATTCCTACAGAACTACAATTTGCTCCTTAGCGAGGATACTTCAGTGGGCTGGATGTTCTCCAGCACTTAGGCTTGTGGTTCTAACTTGCCGTGGTAGCCTGTCTGTGCATGCATGTGTGGTCTGAGCCCTTGCTAAGACCTGTTATTTAAACAGTTGTTTACCTTTAGCCATACAAAGGGACTGACAGGAGTTCAAGGGTATTTAGGGGAGAAAGGAGAGAGATACTAACAGTGTAATAGATCCAATGATGCATTAATGTCATAGTTGAGACAGTTAAAAGTGGTCATGCTGAAAGATGATCCTGCACCTTTTCAGCTGTTCATTCTTGCTTCTGCAAGTGATCATGGGAGAAATAGCAGTGAAGAATGGACGAAACATAAGCCTAATAGTAATGGATGGTTTTCTAATGTGACTCTTCATTGTGTGGCTTGACAAACATTCCTGTTTGAATAAGAGCAGAATGAAGCACCTGCTGGGAAAATGGAGATACACAGGTTTTAATTGTTACTGAAGTTAGGTATGCTTTTTCTCAGGAAAGCTGCAGTTATTAAGGAGTTTTGAGGGGCACTCTTAAAGGCTTTTGGCTAGTGTAAGTAGAATCACTGAGCCAGGCACTCGTAAAAAAAATTCTAAACTTTGAGTTCATGTCATTGCTAGATTGACCGTCAGTTATGGGTAGCAAGAGCACTGCCGCTTCACTGAATTGGTAGCCTGTAAAATTAAGTGAAGTGTTATTCTCAGCTACAGTCTAGTTAAGTGTTCATAGGGTTTTAGATTTAAATTTATTTTGTTGGAACAAGGTAAAACTTGGAATAAGCTTGCTTCATCCAGAAGTGGCTGATACTCTTAATAGTTGGGGTATTCAGTGAAAAATTATTCCTACAGGATGAGTTCTTAGTTAATCATAAAAAGTGGTGCCTATGGGTCACAGTAGTCATGAATTTGGCTAGTAGTCACTAGCCAAATTAATTTGCATTAGTTGCATGAGGAAAAGGCGTTCTAGTGACTGACAACTGATAAGTTTATCCACCTGGATTTGGACAGACTGTGTTCAGTGCTCAAACAGCAGCAGGACAAGAACTTCCTTTGCATACTGCTTTAATTTAGTCTTTGTGTTACAATGAATCTTTTTGAAAAAGTTAAGATTTTGCTTTAGCAGTAAAATAGGTTATTGGCTGGTTCTACAATTCTTAACAGTTGAGTTCCTCACTTAAAGAACCAACCTTAAAGAGCTGTTGTGTGGCCTCCTAATCCTGGAATTAGTGGGAATTTGTACCAGGTTCACTGCTGTGACTTCTGTGTAGTGAAGTGGGGCATTGGTTTGTTTTCTCCTTGCAGCATGACCTTGTTACGTGAAGTCTTTCTGATGAACTACTAGGTGCTTTGGAGAGCAGTATTAAGGTCCAAGTAGCTACTTTCATAAGTGAGGTCATGCTCAGATTGTCATGATTATAATGCAGCACTAACCCTGAGACACTGTTAATAGCAGTTCTTTGCTGAAAATAACCAGTGATTGAATGGCTCATGAGCAGTTTATGCAATATGGTGCTTTTTGAGGATCTTTAGGAAGAAAAATACTGCCAGTTTGGAAGCTTGGACTGTGGCAGAGTTGGGAAATTACTGAACTAGAGACTCTAGCATCCCATAAGTACAGCTGAAGGTGGTCCTGTCACAGAAGGCAAGACTTTGTGTTCCTTGTAAGCTCAGCAACTAAGCAAATCTTAGCTGCTGGTTTTCTGTTGGTTTTTTTTTTTTTTTCTTTTTTTTGTGCTTATTAAGTGGTGGAGAAAAGAAACTGTATGGAAACTTCTTACTGTGACTGCTCCATCTATGAGTTTGTTAATGTGGCACAGTCATGCAATAGATGTTACTCCAAAGTAGAAATGCAGCAGCTTTACTGCAGCAGTATATCATGTCTCTTCAAAGGTTTAGCTTCTGAAGAGTGCTGCACTTCTATTCAGTGTGGTCTGTTAAGAAGCAAAACAGAAATACTCAACAGGCTGGGGCTTTTCAACACAGAAAAGAGAAGGCTCTTGGGGAGACCTCATTGCAACCTTCTTATGTTTAAACGTGGGTTATGAAAAGCAGAGTGACTTTTTACATGGGCAGGTAGTGATAGGAGATGGGTTTAAACAAAAAGAGGTGAGATCTAGATTGGATGTTAGGAAGGGGTGCTTAGAAGATAGTGAGGCATAGGTTGTCCAGAGAAGCTGTGGATGTCCCATTTCTAAAAGTGCTCAGGGGCAGATTGGATGGGGCCCTGAACAGCCTGGTCATGTAGAGTTGTCCATGGTAGGGACTAGGAACTTGATGATCTTGAAAGTGCCTTCCAACCCAAACCATTCTATGGTGTCTGACAGCAGAAAGGTGCACTAAGACTGGGTACCTTTTTGACATTGAGTACCACTGGTTATAGTAATGGATTTGTTTCCAGTTCCAGCAAGCTTCAGTGAATTGGTAAATAGTGAATAATTTTTTAGTATTTATTTTTAGTATTTTATTGACAGAAGTTAGTATCTTTCTGTCCAGTTGGCTGTTGTATATGCTGTTCCTGCCTTTGCTTAGCACATTAGTCATGACACAGGACTGTCATGTGATTTCCCAAATTTTCCTGAAGTAAGGCAAAAAAAAAAATTGGAGGTACAGAACTGTGCCACTTTATTAATGCAGAGAGAACAATCCCTCAAAGAGACTGTGACTGCTAAGCAATGATTGTACTGCTTCATTTTGGGCCACTGTGTTTGTGGCCCAGTTTGTCAGGCTGATGATAGATTGTGCAGTATGGTCTTTCTGTTGAGCCAGGGTAAGGTGTCTCAAATTC